ATAAAATGGTGTTGGGAAAACTGGCTAGCAATGTGCAGAAAGCAGAAACTGGACCCCTACCTGTCACCTTACACTAAAATTAACTCCAGATGGGTCAAAGATTTAAACATAAAACCTAACACCATAAAAACACTAGAAGAAAACGTAGGCAAAACCATCCAGGACATAGGCATAGGCAAGGACTTCATGACTAAAACACCAAAAGCAATGGCAATAAAAGCCAAGATAGACAAATGGGACCTAACTAAATTCCAGAGCTTCTGTACAGCAAAAGAAACCATCATTAGAGTGAATTGGCAACCAACAGAATGGGAAAAAATTATTGCAATCTACCCATCTGACAAAGGGCTAATATCCAGAATCTACAAAGAACTAAAACAGATACACAAGAAAAAAAACAAACAACCCCATTCAAAAGTGGGCAAAGGATGTGAACAGATACCTTTCAAAAGAAGACATTTATGAGGCCAACAAACATATGAAAAAATGCTCATCATCACTGGTCATTAGAGAAATGCAAATCAAAACCACACTGAGATATCATCTCACGCCAGTTAGAATGCCGATCATTAAAAAATCTGGAGACAACAGATTCTGGAGAGGATATGGAGAAATAGGAACACTCTTACACAGTTGATGGGAGTGTAAATTAGTTCAACCATTGTGGAAGACAGTGTGGCAATTTCTCAAGGATCTAGAAATAGAAATTCCATTTGACCCAGCAATCCCATTACTGGGTATACACCCAAAGAACTATAAATTGTTCTACTATAAAGACATATGCACACGTATGTTCATTTCAGCCCTGTGTACAATAGCAAAGACCTGGAACCAACCCAAATGCCCATCAATGATAGGCTAGACAAAGAAAATGTGGTAAATACACACCATGGAATACTAAGCAGCCATAAAAAATAATGAGTTCCTGTCCTTTGTAGGGACTTGGATGAATCTGGAAACCATCATTCTCAGCAAACTGACAAAAGAACAGAAAGCCAAACACCATATGTTCTCACTCACAGGTGGGTGTTAAACAACAAGAACATGTGGACTCAGGGAGAGGAGCATCACACACTGGGGGCAGTTGGAGGGGGTTGGGGAGAGACAGCAGGGGGTGCAGAGGGAGGGGAGGGTGGGGAGGGATAACATGGGGAGAAATGCCAGATATAGTATGCACCTAAAGTAAAATAAATAAATTTTTAAAAATAAAAGCAAAATTTTTTATTGATCAGTGGGAAATAGAGGAAATTTAACATCTGCTCTCCAAAACACTTCATTTTCACCACATTTCCAGATTTTTGAGCAGAAAGCCAGCGCCAACTTCTCATTTGTGTTCCCTGGAATTATTTTGCTACTGAAGGCCAGAGAGACAACAAATTGTCAATTCTGTCTCAAGACAGACTGCATTCATCAGGATTCTCTAGAGTGGCAGAACCAATTTGATAGATGAGAGAGAAAGAGAGAGAGAGAGAATGGATGGATGGATAGACAGATGATAAATAGATGATGGATGGATGGATAGATGATAGATAGATAGATAGATAGATAGATAGATAGATAGATAGCGAGAGAGAGGAAATTTATTTCTTAGGGAAATTGGCTCATGCCATTATGGAGGCAGGGAAGTCTCATGAGAGGCCATCTGCAAGCTGGAGACCCAGGGATGCCTATTGTGTGGCACAATCTAAGTCTGAATGACTCACAATGAGAGATGACAGTGGTGACACTCTCAGTCTGAGGATGAAACTCAAGAAGCTAAAAGGCCACTACTACAAGTCTCAATGTCCAAAGGCCAAATAACTAGTAGTTCTGATGTCTAATGGGAAGAGAAGGATGTCTCAATGCTAAGACAGTGAAAGCATTTCACCTTTTACCTGCATGTTTTTCCTGTCTGGTCCCCAGTGGCTTGGATGGGTGACCACTCACATTGAAGGTGTATCTTCCCAACTCAGTTCATCGACTCACACACCAATCTGCTCCAGAAACACACTCACAGACTCACCCAGTAATGATGCTGTCCCAGTTATCTTTTTATGCAGTAAAGTTGACACTTACAGTTAACCATCACAAAGGCTTAACTCCTGAGAAAATGAGAATCCACCTGCCTTAAAGATACGTCTGATGGGCTCCCATCATTTGCAGTGAGGGCTCAGTTTCTGCACTGTATAATGAGGACAAATATAGCAGTTTCCTCAGGGTGTTTAGGACCCAATGTGTTCACATGTTTCAAGATTTGTCCTGTAGGCAAATACTTGGTAAACAAATAAATCGCACTTGGTAAACAAATAAATCAACAAGCAGCCTACATCACGAGGTAACCACTCCTCCCCCTAACCTGCATCTTCCATGCTACAGTTCTTCCCTCTTCCTTCAAGGCTCTCATCTCTGACTCTGAGGATGGAGCAGCCCCTCAGCTCTCCAGATTCTAGGCATTTAGATGAGGCTCCTGTCCTTCTGGGACACAGGCTCTGTGGAGAGGTGGCTCTTTCCCTGCCCAGTGAAGTTGTGTAGATGTGGCCTCCTGAGGCTTGGAGGACTTGGTGGGAGAGCACTGGGAGGGAACCATGTGTGAAGAGGGCAGTTTTGGACTTGAGCAATGCTTAAGCTGATATTCACATACATGTATCACTTTACTTTGGCTGAGAAAATGGTCCAGCACATCCTGTTGAGACATTTGGTGTCCAACTCAGATATACATAGTCCCTGTGTGAGAAGAGGGAAAGGGTGAAAATACATTGCTCATATTTACTTCTTGTCATTTTCATAAATGGATGATTTCTAAATAAACATAAAAGCAGAAAAGCAAAATGAAAGCCTGGAAGCTACCAATGGGTCAAGGCAGGAGAATGGAAAGACCACACTGTGAAGAGTTGCTTCAGTGCAAAAGGACAGAGCTGAGCAGAAAGAGGAGGTGGCATTGCTGTCCCCATCCCTGGGAACAACCCTGGGTCACCTGGAAGAAAGGGAGGAAAGAAAAAACAGCTCTCAGCAGTCAAGGACCAGCTCACTCACTGCTTTCTCCTTGTTTCTCTGATTCAACTCAGAGTGCTATATGCCCACTCTGGCACCATGGGCTGAAAACTCTGCTTTGACCAAGGTGATGTACTTGTCCTGGTTTTAGATAGCTTTTGCTGCTTCATCATTGAAGATCTCTTGCCCGTGAGACCTCTGATCTTGGGCAAAACTGAGAAGATTTTTCCACACCAAACCTTTCCTACTTTTTTGTTACTATAAATTACATAATGAAATCAATAATAAACTTGAATGCAATGTTTAGGTGAGGGGAGATGACATGTCTTAATTCATGGAAGCATCATCATTTCAGGCACCCATCACACGGTATCTCTGAGAGCAATTGCAGGCATCCCTTGAGTAACGTGGCTCTGTGGCTCATGCTTGTGATGGACGTGGTGGGAGGAGTCCGGACCCTGCGTCAGATGGCCCTTGTCACAGCCCTAGCTGTCATGACAGCGTGTGGCTCTGGAGAAGTTATTTTCAACTCTTAATTTCCCCAAAGCTAAAGTAAATTAAGAACAGTACTACTATCCCAAAGAGTTCTTGTCATGAGGAAATGAAGTGCCCTGTGTGAAATTATTCATGTTGTACCTAGAGTAGGCTGTGTGGAGTAAATGTTTAATGGTTGTTTCTTTGTTACCTGTTTCTGTCTCCAGTTCATACATGAGAACATCATAGTTGACAGAGATGAAAAGTCTGACCTAGAGCTGCATGTCAGTCAGCAGGAGATTGGACACAGGAACCTTGTTATTTCTTTGGCTGCTTTTTGGCCAAGGTCTCCATGGACTATTTCCAGTCAAAGACATCAGAGTGCTAAGCAGAAGCCAGGACTCAGCTGCTCCCATCATGTTATTCTACTCCAGGGTGCTCTGGGAACTTCAAAGACCTGAACCTGCTCACACGAAGTCCCAGGCTACTGTGTGCTGTGCGCCACGGCTAGAGGACAAGGTCTGCCTGTAGTGCCTCTGTATCTGTACATTTAGGAAAACCAGAAAGGGCAAATAAGAGTAGGATTTGTTTTTCTTCTCTGAACATGTCAGTGAATTTCAGGTGATCCTTCAAGCTCCAAGACAAACATTTGGAACAACTTAGATAACATGACAGAGATGCTTGCTTCATGTGAGTTTTACAGGATCCAGATGCTCCTTCCAGCTTTATAGGTAGAGGGATACTCTGCAAGGTCAGCTCTGGAAGGTCACTGGCCTTCCTCTCCCCCAGTCACATACAAAGAGGACTGTGTCCCTCCCTGGGGCCCCCTGAGTGTCTTAGAAAAAAAACTCAGGCCCACTCAGAATCAAGACAGACCTGAGCCCTCTTCTGTCCCCTGAGAGACCTCACCCATGGTGAAGGAAGAAGTAGTCACTTCAACAATGTGCTTGAAATGCACTCAGATGCCCAATACAGGCCCCAGTGTGAGCTCTGCCCTTCCTGAAACCCTCAGAGGGACCATGAAATGAACATCTTTGTTGTCTTTGTTTTTAAATCCACCCCACTTGGGTGACTCCACTTCTGCTTATGGCACCTGCTCAGCACGTCCTACTCCAGCCTTTTCAGACTGCCTTATGCTGGAGTCCAGCCTGAGCTGCACCTCACTGGGAAGCCTGGTGTGATCAGCACAGCTGGGTGGACCCCAGACCCGGCAGTGTCTGCACCTCCCACCCACAGCCTGGTGCAGGTGTTGGGGGCCATTGCTTCTTGTGCTGCTGGTTGACTTTGTGTGTGAGCTGGTTTCAGTCCTCAATTGAATACAAGTTTCCTAGGGATGGGGAATATGTGCTGTGTGTTTCAGTGTGTCCAGAGAATGACTCCTAGGGCACCAAGTATAATCTCAGTCCAGCAGGCACAAGTGTCTTGTGTGTGTATATATATGTACACACACACACACACACACACACACACATATATCTTTATATATTTTCTAGGATTAGTCATATAGAATATGTATATTATACATTCCTTATAGTATACAGTTCATATACCACTCAGTTTGCATAAATACATTAGAAAATGCCACAGGGCTTATAAAAATCAGTAGAGAGAAAGATGATGGCTACTCAGAGATACATGCTTCTACACCAAGAGGGCAGGAACAATGAAGTTTTCACATCTGATCTTCCAACCTCAAAGATTTGGGTGTACAGAAATGCTGGGACAGAACTCGTATGTTTCTCTGGAAGGGTCACTGGGTCACACTCCCTCTCCCTCACCCAACACTGGTCCAAAAGAACTGTGGCTCAATCTTATTTCTGCAGTCACAGGTGTACCTTCTGCCCAACATATACAAAACCAGGCTCAGGCAGGGCAGGGGAGCATCAGCAGGTGCCTCTTCCCCCCACCTACCTATTTAGGTGCCCAAACGTCAATAAAGTAATATATTTCAAAGAAGGAGGGTGGATGACTGGGTTCTCTGGAGTACTTGATGGTAATAATGTTGGAAGAAGAGCGATAGAAGGTAGTGAGGTCTCTACAAATCCTGGCCAAGGACTTAGACCCTGGAGGTCCATCCAGCACTTCCACATACTCTTTGCCACAGGTGAGTTTGCTAGGTCAGAGGAAAAGGGAAACATCAGCATTTGGATTTGTCCTCAAGCTAGACTGCCACCTCCCTCCACCCAATGACCCCACATTGGATCCTAACAGCTTTTCTTGTGAGAAGTGCAAGACAGATAAGAACAAGGGAAGGAAAGTTCATCAGTTCTTCAATAATGCAGGCAGGGCCCCGAGCATCCCCTCCATCTTCCCAGAAACCTTCCCCTCCACCAGGGCAGCAGGTGGCTTCCCAGTCTCATGGTTTCTGTGTCTCCCAGGAAGCCCAGCCCAGGAATTTTAGTCAAAGCAACAGCTGTGTTTCAAATTCCCCAAACAGTGAATGCAGCCAGCACAGTGGTGTGTTTCCTTAAACTGCAACCTGTGTCAGGACGAAGATCACCAGAAATGAGTGTGTGAACACCACTCCCTGGTTTCTGCCTTCCTTTCCCCTGACAGATGGCACAGGAAGAGGTGAAGCATGAACCCTCTCCCAGCACAAGCTTGACCTTGCTTACTCATGGCAGAGGGGAGAGGGATCTCTATCTCCATCCTGTGAGAGGCACACTGCACATGGGAGCTCTTAGTCCTGGGAGGCCTCCTCACTTCCCTGTCCTCCCTGTGTTTTTCCAGTCCTGATCTCCACCCCTCATCCTCTGCCCCCAGCAGGTCTTGGTTTCACAGGAGAAGGCCTGGAGCCTCTCTGGGGTATAACAAGACAACAAAGGGACACCCCACCAGGATACACACAGCTGACTTTATACTCGTTTTGCTCTCGGCCCCGCCTGAGTTCCTCCTTGGTGCCGGGGACAGTCAGATCCAAAACCAACTTTGAAAAGGACAAAAGGACAATATGGGGAGCTGTCCAGAGCTGCCCATCCCTCTGGACCTGGGGAAATTATGACACAGGAAGTGGACAACTATTTCATTCCAGGTTCCTCCTCAACCTCCTTCTCTCCTTGTTTCCCCATCTGGGTCTCCTTAGCCACTCATCCTTTTTTGAATTCCTGAGCCTCAGGTTGGATAGATTGTTTAAGCCTTGTATTTGATGCAGCTGTCTCTAAGTGTCCTTTATCCCAAGAACTCCTGCATAACCTAGTGGGATTCTGAACCCATAGGCTGCCTGGAGGGGACAGGACCTCTGGGTCACACAGATTTCACCATCTGTCTCATCCACCATTGTGGGCTGTGTTTGGCTTGGTCTGGACTTGATGGAAATGTGGCTCCCATGCTGAAATCCATGAACAGTGCCCTGGGATAGCAATGCACTAACTCAGGCTGCATTGGAGATGCCTTCTGTGGCTTTATCACTTCATTCATTCAAGAAAAATACCTGCAATCCAAAGATAGACTCCCAGTAAACACAAATGAAGTCATATGCAAGAGTAACATTACACTATAAACTCAGTGTAGAGCTTTCCAGGGGGTACTATGTAAGCCCCTGTAAGAAAAAGACCTTTCCTCCTCTGCAGAGTCAGGAAAGGGATTTTATTGTTATGGAGGTTGTTGCTCTTGAACTAACTCATGAAATACAACATGAAAGCCCTTTGCAGAGGGCAGATGAGTCTGGCAGAGATTGAAGGATGCATTCCAGGCAGAGGGCAGGTGTGAACAAAGGCAAGGAACTTCTGGACTCGGGTGTGTTCAGGAAACTCAGTGTAGTGGCTCAGCTTATAGAGGGGTCCAGAGAGAAGAAGTGATCAAAAGTGAGTAGAGAAGAGAAGCCAGTTCTGAAGAATGTGCAAGGCACGACATGAAGACAAATTTTATTTGGAGAACAAGGAGTCAGTGAAAAGCTTTCAACAGGAAATGAAAATGCAGTCTAATTGTGTGTCAAATGGCTGTCGTAGATGGGTAGAGGGTGAACCATAAGAGGTCAAGTTGAGATCCTTCCTAGAAATAACAACATCATCAAAGAAAACTCACAACCCAGTTCTCACCTGAGGTCTTGAATGGCCACCATGGGTATCTCCCCGGGCTCGTACTCAATGACCCAGACACATTCAGTTTTCGGCCCAACATAGTTGATGATCCTGCCATAGTCATCTGTGTAGTGGCCCCCACAGTCACTGGGTGCTACAAGAGGAGAAATGGGGCCCAGGCATTGCAAGGATGTTCTTGGCCTGGGATTGGCTCGTGCCATTCCCTGGGCCCCTGACATTACTGATTCTCCAAACCTCCCATCCTTGGGAAGAAAGTGTAACCTTAATGGCCCAGTCTGATAGCTCCACAAACAAGGTGGGCTTTTTGGTTTTAGTCTATTCAGAGATTATGAAAGGACCCACATGCATTTTAAAGTACAATTTGTTTATGATGAGTGGGAAATAGAGGAACTTAACTCTCCTTATTAAAATTTACTTTCTCAACAATCATATCGCGTGATTGGTGAGCAGAAAATCAGCACAAACATTTTCTTTCCATATCTTTTCTTAGGGCTGGTCAGACAAATAATGAATAGGCAGTGCTCCTGCCCCTGTAGTAGCCCAATCCCTGAACAAATGAGAATCCATCTCCTTGAGGTTCAATTATGCCTCCAGCTCTGCAAGTGTAACTGAGGATGAAAAGAGCACCTTGCTTCAGTGGTCAAATGTGTTCTGGTTTCTAAAGCACTAAGCCTGTGCCCAGCAACTGGTTAAGCTCTAGATAATCCACCAATCAATCAACAAGCCACCCTGCATCACAAGAAAACTGCTCCTCCCTCTAGCCTGCATCCTCATGGAGAAGCTTGAAGGAGGAGGGAAGGACTGCAGCATGGAGAAGGCAGGTTAGAGGGAGGAGAAGTTTTCTGACACTGAGGATAGGCCAGCTGCTCAGATCTCCAGACTTCAAGTGTTTAGAGGAGGCTCCCATCCTCCAGGAGTGGTGGCTCCTTTCCCTTCCCAGCAGGCTGGTTAGACAGGAGGGCCGAAGCAGAAAAGTCTCCTGGGGCTTGGAGGTATTGAGGGGAGTTGGGAGGAGGCTCATGAGGGGAGCACTGAGAGGGTAGGAGGAGGAATTTGGGATTATGAAGGCTGAATCCAATTTTCAGGTCCAGAAATACCAAGTTCTTTTGGACAAGGATTGTCCGTGGTACATGCCCTTCTCATTGACCCACTTGGAGTTCAACCCCAAAACACAATGTCTCTGTGTGAGGCAAGAGAAAGAGGGAAACAGTCTTGTCTGCATTTACCTGTGGCATATGGAGCTGTAACTGTTGTGGCTGAAAGAAAAAAAAAGAAAGAAAAATGAAAATCTGAACTTACTGATGGGTGAAAGCAGAAGAAAGGAAAATGACCACGCTGTGAAGAGGGGCTTTGGTGCAAAGGGATGGAGCTGAGCAGGAAGAAGAGATGGCGTCATTGTCCCCATTCTGGGAGCAGCCCTGGGCCACCCAAAATGAACGGAAGGAAGGAACGGCTCTCAGCATTCCGATTCACAAACCAGCTCACCCACAGCATTCTTCTGGCTTCTCTGATTCCACTCAGTTAAAGTTCAATTGTCTTACTCTGGAGCCATAGTCAGAAACGATGGCTCTGTTAGGGTGGTCAGCTTGTCCTAAATTATCTGAGACATTCCTGATTTTTTAGCTAAAGGTCTCATGTCACAGGAAACCCCACTTTCCTGGGAAAAAATTAAAAAACTACTTTAACTCTGATATAAACATTTCTCCTTGTAAATTCTATAACAAAACCAGTGATTAATTTGATTTTGAAATAAATATGTTGACTACAATTTTTAAGTGAATTTCCAACTCAAAAACCAGCTTACAGCTTCCATCAAAATTAGGGCTACACTGAGGCCTTAGGGCCACTGGTCATAGGAGCCCTGAGAGGTTGGTGGAAAAACTTAACTCACTGTATCCCTAATTTAGATGGAAGATGTAAGCTGGTATCTCAATGAAAATTATTTTCATCTAGATTCTTAGTCAACTTTATTTATGGAAATTTCACTATTCAGGGACCTGAGTTAAATACCTAGATCCAAGCGAGCCCTGCATGCAATCCCATGCATCCCACAGCGCACATGACACTGGGCTCATGTCAGGAGACGGTCTAGTGGCAGGTGCATGGGTTCAGAATCAAACGGCCCTGGTCAACCACCCTAGTGGCCTAGAGCTGAACAGCTTTGAACAAAATTTCTACTCTCCCTAAGCCTCAGTCACTCATCTATACAATGGGCATCTGGATTTTAACTACCTTATAGGATGAAATTGGGTGCATGATCCTATGGCCCAATACCCAGCACAGGGTAGCCTGGCACACACCTGATCTGTCACTCTAAAGCTTTCCAGACAGTTGCTTCATTTACCAAATTAGATGATGTTTCTTTACTCAGTAAATGAGCAATCCTTATAATGCTACAGAAAGCTCTACACTATAAATTCAGTGTATTCTGACAAGAAAGTCAACCAGGACATCTTAGTGGCCCTTCCTGGGCCTGAGACTGTATGGAGCCTTTGGGGTGCAAAGAAGAGTCTCCCCACAGCTGGGGCCTCTGTCAATTTGCCTCCAGAAGAAACCATGATTCTCCAGAAAGCAGATCTCAAGTGCAAATCCTGACCATGCCTGTCATGTTGAGTGACATTTCTGTACTGTAAGCATGTCTACCTTAAATTATTTTCATCTAGATTCTTAGGTAAGAGCCTTGAGGGATGGGGAAGAAACTGCCCCTTAACAATCACTGACTATACAACATCCCAGGCCATGAGGCTAATGATCACTTCAGGGAGCTTTAGTAATAAACCTGTCTCAGTTTGCTTGAGTGGAATCTTTTCCTTCACTAACTCCTCACAACAGCCCTGTTGAGACACCCCGATTCTACAGCTGAGGTTAGGAGAGGCTGGGTGGCTTGGCCAAGCCTACACAGCACTCATTAGTTTCTGCATTTAAGCTCAGTACCTCTGCCTCTTTTTCATCAGGTTGTCTTTGTGTTTCCTGACTTCACCAAGGACGAGGAAACCAAATGGCAAGCGTATTAAGTTCTTCCACCAAGCTCTCAGGGTTCCTATGACCAGTGGCCCTAAGGCCTCTCTGTAGCCATAATTTAGACAGAAGCTGTAAGCTGGTACCTGAGTTGGAAATGTAGATGGGCATCTGAAGCTTTAGCCAGAGGAGACCATGTAGATCTGGGGCCTACAGTGAGACTGAACTTTGCAGGAATGCTGGCAGGAGAGGAGAGCTCCCGGCGATGAGCAGCCCCTGATGGGAGTGTACAATCAGCAAAGCGGAGCAGTGCAGGAGAAATGGGCAAGGCTACAAAGACAGGGCAAGGGCAAGAGAAGAGAGAGAAGTGAGGAGAGTGGGAAACAAGAAGGTCAGGAAGGAAAGAGGGGACAAAGAGGAGGATAGAAAGAAAGAACGTGGGGAGAATTAGAGAAACAGAGAGCCAGGGGAAAGAGAGACAGAGCTCTCCCTGAAGAAATTGCTACCCTCTTGCTTTTCTGCCTGCATTTAAAATCAGTTGGCCAATCCTCGTGCATCTGATGCAATTCCCAGGGCCCAGCCCTCTAGAGGGCAAGTGACTCCCCCTCTTTCAGGCATTTCCAGCCAGTGTTGGGAGCTGCTGATTATTGCTGCCCCTGAAGTTGCTGCAGCTGCCATGTGACAACCCACTGGGCAGATGCAGAGCCCCCTTCTGCTGCGGGCTCCCGCAGGGGCCACAGCTACCCCCTCAGAAAACCCCAGTCACATTTCATGCAGGGCACCCTCACCAAGACACCCCCTTCAGTCAGACCACCTGGAAAACCTCCAAAGCAATTCTCTCAGCTGCTTCTGGGTGAGCCTTGCAGAGTCTCAGCATAAGTTGCTTAAGGCAGGAAGGAAGGTCACCGAACACATCAAGACAGGGAATTCAGGAACCCAGAAATGTTTAAAAATCACGATGGCATCAGCACGGTGACGTAGATATTTTCCCATTTGTCTATTCCTCCACCAGCACTAAGGGGAAAGTGAAACATTTTGTATGGAAGAGAGTATCTTTCAGCTAATCAGCCATGGGCTTCTTCCTTGGCAATAAGCAAATTAAAAAAATGTCTGCAGCTGAAAAGGAAAATAGTGCGAGGCCCAGGAGAAAGGGCCTGGGGACATGTGTTACCTGTAGTGCACAGCAGTGCCCAAGCAAAGGCTCTGGACAGCCTCATCCTCAGCAGGACCTGGCACCAACCTCAGGAGTGAGCTCAGCTCTGGTGGCTTGGGTTATATAGAAACATCCATGAAATCTGATCTTCTCCCTCCCACCTGGAGCCAACATTGGCCAAGCTGTAGGATCACCGGGGTGGTCTAGAAAGGGAGGAGGGAGGTGTGGCTAGATGGTAATCAACACTGATCTTTCTCAGCCAGGTTCCAGGTTTCACCTAGGCAGAGATATAATGGCCAGGTGCTCCTTTCCTCTCCAAGCAGGCTCAGGGGAAGCATCACAAGCTGGCCTCAATTTGTGATCTCCTACCTGGGCAGCCCTCTTTCTTTGGGCTAACTGGTAGCACTTGCAGCTGCATTATGTTGCAGAAGCCTCATAATACCCAAGAGGTGAGGCAGGCCAGGGGTCCTTGGAAAGCTGAAGATACCAGACCCAGAGAAAACCAGGAGACTTTCCCAAAGTCACAGGGCATCAGGGGCAGAAGTGGGGTGAGGTCCCAAACTCCTGACTGCTCCTCTCTCCCACAGCCCTCTCTGTGTCACTGGAGAGCAAAGGCATGAAATCAGGCCCTTGAGCAGCTCCAGGTATGAGTGGGCTACAGTGGGGCCACTGCAGGGGCAGGCCTACCCATGTGGGAATGTTCAGGTGGATGGCATGAGTACCTGTGTCTACATTTGTCATACAAGAATCCACATGGCTCTGTCCCAGGGGCAGGATCATGATTAAAAGAGGTTTCTGAGGAAAATGGGCTGGCAATTTCTTTTGAGATTACACAGAGAGTTCCCTTATGCTCTAGCAATTCCACTAGTTGTATACTAAGGAGAATTAACAGCATACATCTAGATATAAATGGAAGCATTACTCAATTAATGGAAGAGGGGACACAATCTAATATCAGCTGATAAACAGATGAAGAAAACCTGGGATAGCCATAATGGGAATTTCTTCAGCCATATGAAGGAATGGGAGCCAATTTGCCAACCAAAGACTGCTACCAATTTATATAACAACCAGGACTTCATGAGGTCCCATTTTCCTGAACTCTAGCCAACTCCTGATTTTGTCATATCTTTCAATATGTCTTCTAATCAAATACGATCAGAATAATACCTAATGTTATAAAACACATTTCCCTGAAGTCGAGTGGGGCTGGCATCCTTTCAATGCCTCTACTCCCACAGCAGCTCTTTCAGAAATGCCTGTTCATATCTTCAGGGCAATCTTGTATTGCATCACCCTTCTTATGGATCTTAGAAGCCGCCCTTGGCCTTTCCTTCCCACAACTTTATTTGAACAGGCCCTGATGGGTTCACATTGTGAAGGAGCTTCACTACTCAAGTAGAACAGGGTGACACTGCTGGGTTAGGAGCCATCTAGACACTCAGCTCATCCCAGCTGAGGAATGGAGGGAGAAGAAAAGTGGGTAGGTTTTCTCTCTGCTCACAATCACTGCAAAAGGCTGTTTTAGTGTTAAGCCTCCAGGTATTACTTAAGTAAATTGCAATACTTCCTCACAGGTCTCCTTCCTCCTCTTACTCCAGATACCCTGTCCCATTACCCATCATTCACCCCATTCCTGGCCCTGGGCTGGGAAGAGGACAAAGCTCCCTGCCATTGGTTGTGAATGCCCAGATGGAGCAAATGCACGAGCCCATGGAGAGGATGTGCCCTTTTTCTTGTACCCCAGCCCGACGATCTTGCCATGGGCTCCAATGGGTCAGGATGGCTATGTGACCCCCAGCATCATCCCCCCATGGCTGTGGCTGCCTGAAGGAACAAAGACCAAGTATCTTTCCTGAAGGACCCTGGAAACCAAAGTCTTAGGTACCCCAAGACCCAGTGTCCGCTGGAGGAAAGATTTGGGTTAGCACCAGCTTCTGAGGATTTGCATCCCTCAGATATTTATCCTCCCCGATCTTCCCGTGCTCCTACATAGCCCTAAGTGGATTCATCTATTTCCCTTTGTATGCTCTTCTCTCATAGCCTGCTACACTCAGACCTGTCCTCTGCTTCTGCAGGAGAGGTTAGTAATTATCTGCACCTTGTTCAAAGACCCCCTGTAACTGACTGCCATACGCAGTGTCAGAACTGTCCAACTGGTCTCCTCTCCATGGTTCCAGGTCAGCCATCATCTGCCTCCCCAGCACCCTTGCTTTGCCTTTACCAGGAAGGGTTTCAGGGTCTGATGGGCATTTTGTGTGTTTACTTCCTAGCATGGTTTCCCACTTGGAAACAAAGAACCCCAACTATTTCCAGGTATCTATTTCCACCCAGCATACCCAATGTGTCCTGGAAGCAATGGACCGCAAGCCCAGCTCCAAAAGCTAACTAGTCACTGATGCAGACTTGAGTATGTCACCCAAGTTGGCCCAATGGTGTCAAAGGAAGGTGTGACATAGAGGGAAGTGGGCATGGCTGTTCCCCACTTGCTACCAGGATGAGGATGAAGCCAACTCGCAGAGCTGCAGAGCAAAGGCCACTCCAGAGCTGCTGGTGACATCAGCCCCAAAGCCTCTGCACGTCCAGACTCAGGTGTCAATTCCTGTCCTTGTTGTTTAAGCCAATTTGAGATGGGGTTTCTGTGCATGTAGCTGAAAACATCCTAAGCTCTACAAGGCCCCCTGAAAACCAGAAATTAATGTGCTCTTTAGAGAGTCTCAGAAGAATGAGAACCATCCAACACCTGCTAGAGTCCCCCAGGCTGAGCAGACCTGCCACAGCACCTCATTTTGGAGACTTCAAACAGCTTGGGCAGGTCATGCCACAGAAACATCCAGGATTTGACTAAATGCTGACTATGTCAGCTTCTCAGAGGCACTGAGGTAGGTGTACATATTGGGTGCTTCCATTTACTACTTCACCAAAATCTCCAGAAGCCAGACACAGCCATCAGAAAATACAACCATCTAAATTACAAGAATCATCAGAGGGAAATATGTAAAATTTTATGCTTGGGAAACATCCATCCTAAAGATTTACATAAAATGGTAGTTATTGTATAAAGTAACTTTCATCTATTGACGGGGCTTCCAAAAATCCAATCATGGAAAGCTAGGCTATGGCTCAACTCCAAGCCCTTACATTGGTAACTACAGCTAAGATTCCATATTCATTTGGCAGTATCTTTTTCTATGCTTATTTGTTATCTGCCTATCTTCCATGACAGGAAAATAAAAACTCAAAACTCCGATTTACTTACTATGGAAAAAGGAAACTAAGCCGAGAGCTGAGTCATGCAAGAAACTGCCTTTCCTTTTGTTCTTAAGCAGAGAGCTACAGATGAAAGGTTAAATATCTCCATTGGTAGTTACTCTATGTTCTCCTTACCTTATGTAAAATACTGATTAACTGAGTGTGAGACAAACTCATGATTGACTACCTCCTATTTGCTCCTTTTCCCTTTTTAAAGATTATAGATATACTATTTGCAAATACTTTGGATCCTGCCATGGGCTCCAATGGGTCATGATGGCTATGTGTCCCCTAGCAGCATCCTCCCATGGCTGTGGCTGCCTGAAGGGACAAAGACCTAGTATTTTTCCTGGAGGACCCTGGAAACCAAAGTCTTAGGTACCCCAAGACCCAATGTCCGCTGGAGGAAAGATTTGGGTTAGCACCAGCTTCTGAGGATTTGTATCCCTCAGATCTTTATCCTCCCTGGTCTTCCCGTGCTCCTACATAGCCCTAAGTGGATTCATCTTTTTCCCTTTGTATGCTCTTCTCTCATAGCCTGCTGCACTCAGACCTGTCCTCTGCTTCTGCAGGAGAGGTTAGTAATTATCTGCACCTTGTTCAAAGACCCCCTGTGACTGACTGCCATAAGCAATGTCAGAACTGTCCAGCTGGTCTCCTCTCCATGGTTCCAGGTCAGCCATCATCTGCCTCCCCAGCACCCTTGCTCTTATTTTACCAGGAAGAGTTTCAGGGTCTGATGGGCATTTTGTGTGTTGTCTCCCTAGCATGGTTTCCCACTTGGAAACAAAGAACCCCAACTTTTTCCCACCCAGCATATACAATGTGTCCTGGAAGCAACTGACCCCAAGCCCAGCTCCTTTTCCCTTTTTTAAGATTTAAAATATATAGATAAGTCACTGCATCAGTGACTAATGCAGACTTGATTATATGACCCAAATTGGTCCTCATCCTTGTTTCTTAAGACCTTAAAAACATATATATATATATAGTTTTTGAAAGATTATATATATACTCTTTGAAAATACTTTGAAAGTAATTAAGATTATTGATTGGGAAGGAAAAAATTCAACACAAAGAAACATAGGAATAGAGATGCAAAAGAAGTTGCCTAATCCCATGCCTTCCAGCCCCAGTGGCACAGCATAGACCTGCGGATGACCATACCCCAAATCTTTCCCTTCCAGCCATCTTTTCCCCTTTACGGATTGAAGCACTCAAAATCATCTTGGGACCACAAGCTGTTACTGTGATTCAGTGTGTTTTTTTTGTTTTGTTTTGTTTTAATTTCTGGGCATGTCCTTAACCTTGGCAAAATAAACTTTTAAATCAACTGAGACCTGTCTCAGATACATTTTGTTTTACAAATTGGTGACCAACTGAAGAGACTCTGAGTGGATTTTTTGATGAATCTCCTATGGTGCTTGGTACCAGCTTGGGCTATCTTTATTGCTCAAACCAATAGGACAATTTGCTGAGGCCTGGAAGCTTCTCTACTCCAGAGAATCCCGGATCTCCCCAAAATTGGTTGAGATCTAAGTTTTATTTTGCTGTACAACTCCTTCTCTGGAGTTTTACTTGCTTCCAACAAGGAAGGCAAGTTTTCCTGCTTTCCATGACATTGAAAGGCAGGCAAATCCTTCCTGGAAATTCAGCTTACTTGCAACAGGGAATGTGAGTTTGAGTTTTTCCTGTTTCTAAGATGGTAGAGAGCAATCTTCAGCCTGGGGCCCATTCCTAGATAAGTAGCTGATTTGGGATATTGTGTTGAAAATTCTCCTTAATGACTAAAAGTTAAGACTGATAACCAGCTGGTCTTAATTT